GACACGCTTAGCCGAGGCGCAATAAATGCGGTTAGGTGAGCCCTGCTGTGCTCACCTAACCCATACACGTGGAGTAGAAAACGCGAGGGGTCGGGGCGCCTCGGCCCTCGGGGGCGAGGCTGGAGTGGTCCGACCCCCCCCCTCGGGGAGACCAAGAGGTGGGCGCACACATCACCCTCGGGCCCGACGTCCCCCGAGGGTGCCAGGCCACGTGGGCGATTGTGTCTGCCTCAAGCCTCGAGTCATGATACTCCCGGTCCCATGTCACCGACACCCGTCCATTGTCTTTTCTCTTTATTGTCATTGGGATTTTGAAAATCGAACATAATTATCGTTCGGGTTCATTTTTTTACTTTCTAGAAGTCCTACCAAACCGTCGACAGCTTTGCCATTGTACTCCTCTATGACTCGCTCGCTGCCTCCCTTCTTATTATCATTGAGATTTTAAAATCGAACATGATTATCATCGTTTTTTTCACTTTGTAGAAGTTTTGAACCTTTAAAAATTGGTTTATTGTCTTGTTGGGTTTCATTTTTTTATAACTTTTGAAGTATCGTCACACGATGCCACTATACTCCTATACGACCCATTCGCCTCTTAGTCTTTATTATCATTGGGATTCTAAAAATCAAACATAACTATTGTTGGAATTCATTTTTTATTTTCTAGAAGTCCCGCCAACTGTACGGCTATGTAACTATACTCCTATACACCCCGCCCGCTGCTTCTCCTTTTTATTGTCATTGAGATTTTTAAAATTGAATATGATTATCAATGGGGTTTATTTTTTCTACTTTCAAGAAGTCCCGGCAACCGCATTGCCCGTTTGCTTCACGGCCTTCCTGTCGTCCCTCCTTTTAATCGTCATTTGGATTCTATTTGGTGTTTTATGAACAGCTTTTATATGTTTTCTCAACCGCCACCACTCTACATTTTTATAGGCCAATTACTTATAATTCTATTTGGTGTATTATTAACAATTTTTATATGTCGTATCAACCACCACCTCTCTATTCTTTTATAGGACTGTTACTTAATTTATGTCGTCATGTGTTTTACATGGTCTTTTCTTTCAATAGTATTTATTTTTTATCACCAATTTTAGTTATTTATAAATTATATTTCTAATTAAATCTTTTTTCTTTTTCTAATTTCAGAATTTATTTTTTTTCCAAATTTTAATTAATACCGTATAGTGTTCTTTTAATATTTTTATAGCAAAATTTGCTACAGGACACTCAAAAAACGCGTAATTAGCTGAGGGACACCGAGAAAATGTTTAACTGCTCCAGGACACTACAAATTTTGTGAAATTTGCCGTAGGACACCGAGCTTATTATTTTATCATTTCCCGGCTGAAAGTGGCGAGTATTTTTTCAAAATGCCTAAATTGCCCCGCGTCCCAATCTATACTCTGGAGCTTTGGAGCTGATGATGGCATCAACCTGCTCTTTCGGGGAGATGAAGTTGTGCGCAGGGTTGGTGAGATCCGGCACGAGGAGGTTGTGGGCACACACCATGTCTGCCTCATCGAAGGAGCCCATCTCGATGAGCACAAAGGCGAGCGCAAAGGCGATGTGCAGGCAGCACGGGGCCATCCATGCTGCTCTCCTGAGGTGATTCGTCGCCTTTTGCTGATCCGCGCGCGCGAAGTACCATTGCGCAAGGATGGTGTGGTACCTCCCGAGGAGCTGCTTGGTGGCGAGCCCGTCTCCGCCTGTGTCCTGCAGCGCGGCGATCGCCCCGTCGGCCTCCTCGGTGAATGCGGCGTCACAGTCCGACCAGTCCCAGTTGCTCGCCGGCCGCTCGCCGCTGGCACCGGCCATGGGAGGAGGAGGAGGAGGAGGAGGAGCGCGTCACGACGTTGCAGCCCGCCGCGAGGCAGACGACCGACACCAAAGAAGCGCGCGCGTGAGGTGTTTGTCGAAATGCCGATGTGGCGGGACGCGACGACTTAGGATATACGCGAGACTTAGGATATACCGACACCAAAGGAGCGCGCGCGTGAGGTATTTGTATGGTATGGGGATCGTTGGAACTAGGATATACGCGAGACTTAGGTAAAAGAGACAGACGAGAATTTTTATACAGGTTTGGGCCCCTGAATTATCAGGTAATAACCCTACATCCTTGTCAGGGTTATGGAAACCACATACCATGTCGGTAGGGCCCACCACATACTATGTCTTATACGGAAACTGACCTCGAGGGAGTTCCGGATAAGGAAAGACAACCAAAGTTCTACATGGAAACGACAAAGACTGCTCGAATTGTATCCATATTGGTTTCCCTAGTTCTACTTGGACAAGGGGACACATATGGGTATAAATAAAAGGCCCCTTAGGAGGAGAGGGGACACAATCAACATCCACCATAGAAGACACGGAACATAGATCAAGACAGAAGATCAATATACAAGCCAACATACGCCAAGACAAGACGTCGGATATCGACTTCAGGGATAAGCACGGCTAGTCCCCTACGGTGTCTCCGGATACTGTCAGGAGAGACGAAAGCGTTATCTCTGATCTCGCCGGGCACGGATTCGAGGAGGAAGACTACTTTGTTGTTGACTACGAGTTAGATCTTCAGACCGCCATGTCGACAACAGTTAGATAGGCTACCCCAAATATTGTACTGGTGTGATTATGGTGAATAAGAGCAATACCGGCTTCGGCCAACAGGATGTAGGGTTATTACCTGACCATTCAGGGGCCCGAACCTGTATAAAACTCCTTGTCCCCATCTCTTTTATCTCAGTCTAGCGTATATCCTAGTACCAACGATCCCCATACTATGCAAATACCGGAATCGCGACATCAAACGTCGACAGTCCTGTTGGCCGAAGCCGGTCGTTGCTCTTATTCATCATAATCACACCAGTACAATATTTGGGGTAGCCTATCTAACTGTTGTCGACATGGCGGTCTGAAGGTCTGACTCATAGTTGACAACAGGATAGCCTTCCTCCTCGAATCCGCATCCGGCGAGATCAGAGACAACACTATATCTCTCCTGACAGTAGCCATAGGCACCGTAGGGGAGTAGCCATGCCTATCTCTAAAGTCGATATCCGGCGTCTTGTCTTGGCGTATGTTCGCTTGTATGTTGTGGCTTCTGTTGTTCCGTGTCCCTTCTCCTCCTAGGGGGCCTTGTATTTATACCCATAGGTATCCCCTTGTCCAAGTAGAATTAGAGAAACCAATATGGATACAATCCGAGTAGTCCTTTTCGTTTCTACGTAGAACTCTATTCATCCTTCCTTATGCGGAACTCCTCCTATATCCGAAGGTTGTTTTCGTATAAGACATGGTATGTGGTGGGTCCTACCGAGATTTAGTCAACTACTATTAGGTATGTGGTATCCATAACCCTGACAAATAGGACAATAGGTTTTCATCAAAGTCTCGCTTGGGAAACATATTAGTTTTTTTTATTGATTTTAGACAATTATATTAAGTGATACTCTTTCTGTCTCAAAATAAGTACAATTTTGTACTATTCATATTCAACGTTTGACCGTTCATCTTATTTGATTTTTTTATAATTAGTATTTTTTTGTTATTAGATGTTAAAATATGAATAGTACTTTATTGCTATTAGATGATAAAATGTAAGATTTTAATAAGAATATAAGTGCAACGTAAGTACTCCATCCGTCCTAAAATATAAAAACTTTTTACCTTCTAGAATTTGACTCAAAATATAACTTCTCTTCCCAAAGAATCATAACCTTCCATCATTCAATTTTTCCACCTATCTTCAATTTCAAACTATATAATTATAACTTTTTCTTATTTAATTCTACCTATTTTCTTAATACCCGTGTCTACATTCTTGTATTTAGAGATGGAGGTAGTAGAAGATTATAAATATAAGAAAACGTAAGAATGATTGTTTGAATATACCACGGGAGAAAAATGTTGAAATCGGTTGAGCGAGATAGACTCAATAAAATTTTGCAAGAGGTTGAATCTCGTACTAACTTTTCTCTAAAATATCTATATTGTCCATTCAATAAGAATTACAAAATAAAAAGATATAATTCAATCATTTATTTCAAAAGCCATCCTAGTATTTTTCTTCTTATAGAATTGAAATGCCCCAAGTTTTCTATATGTTTCTTACAAATTGTGTGTGTGTGGGGGGGGGGGGGGGCATTATTTCCTACTCCAGATCGTACTATATCCATACCTAAGCTGTCGGCAACGATGGTTGCTAATGCCGGCTGTCGGAGGATTTTAATTGTCTAGAAAAATTTCCTAAAAGAATATTTCAACTATAGGATTAAATCATATTTTTTTCTATAAAATCCCTATAAAATAGGCAATAATATAGAGATTTTAAAGAAAAGTTAGCTATAATTATCTTTAAGTTTATTTCCCACATTTAATTTCTACTGACTAATTAAATGACCATTTACATATTTTTCCTGTGATTTACAACTGTTGGTTTTACGCTCACTATTATGCCAAAATCTTACTACTTCATGTGTTTCTATTTCTCAAGTATTTTTTTTCATCGCGTTTTAAACGAGCCTTTCACTGCTCTCCATACACAGCACCCGTGAGCAACCGGCTACTCCTACTCTATAATTAATGAGGGTAGAGTATCTGAAGTGTCCCCCCCCCCCCGCACTTTTGTCCTGTTCGCGGTCACGCCTCTACGTAGTACTACCTAGGTGTAGGTATGTTTGAGGAGGAGTGGATTGGGGAGATTGGGAATATACGTAAAACGAGGTGAGTCATTAGCGTATGATTAATTGAGTATTAAATATTTTAAATTTTAAAAATAGATTAATATGACTTTTTAAAGTAACTTTACTATAGAAAATTTTTATAAAAAACGTTTAGTAGTTTGGAAAGCGTGCGCACGGAAAACGAGGTGCTTTCTCACCCTATATCACACACACGAACGCAGCTTTACTGTATAGACCCTCTAGTCAAAGAGCAACTGAAGTTGCAACACCAACCTCCGACCCTGGACCAAACAACAATATGGCTACCACATCACTAGAGGGATGATGAAGATGAACCATCAAAAAACCTGCACAGGCTGCAGGGTCCCCTACTCCACAATCCACAACGCTCAGTTCAAGGTTCCTCCAGGCTTTTTCCCCTGTCACGGCCTCTCTCGTCGTCGTCGCTTGCGTAGCTCTGTAGGAGTACGCAAGCACACTCGAATACTACACCACCACCATCGGTTGATTGACATTTGACCCTGATTGACGCCTCTGCGACTGCACTGATCGATCGATCTCTGACATGCACCGATCGACACGTCCGGATCATGATATCTTTTCCCTCTCTTCTTGCATCGTCTGATGAATCCACAATATTCATATCCTTGCTATAAAGCGCGGCTGCAAGCGTACGCTGCTGTCGCTGTCGCCATTGTTCTTCATCTTCGTCGTCGTCGTCGTCGTCGTCGTCCTCGCCGCTTGCAGTCGCTGCTGCCGCCGCCGTCGCCGCCGATGCACCACCATCCGTCACACGTCTTTACTACTAGGTACTGTAGTGTTGTAGCAGTGCGTGTCGTCTTGCGACGAGCTTTGTGTTGGACCACGACGCCATGCTTGGCTGTAAGCTCTAGCTTGGCATCGCGCTAACCCCTTTTTTGTTGGCTTGCGCGGCGGCGTCACGCCCGTGGCGGTGCTACTGTTCAGCTGCAGGGCGGAGGAGCAGCAGCTGGGTGGCATCGGCACAGCTGGATACCACATCGGAGATGGCGCCATCTTCCCTCCTCATCATCTTCTTCCTCCTCCCGACCTCCCGCTCCTCCGCACTAGTAACTCACGCCACTGTCTCTTCCACTGTTGCATTCCAAGAACTGCTCCTTTGTTTGATTCTTGCTGCATTTTGTTTTTTGTTTTTTTTTTGAAAAGGTCCGAATCCGAGCTCCAAGTCGTCGAGCAACCTCACCGCCGGAGGACACCTTCCGCCGCTCGCCGTCGCCGCCGCCGCCGCCGCCGCGGTGAGTTTGGTTCTTTCTTCTTGCTGATTGATTGATTCTTCGGCTGATGCAATGCGACCAGCAGCAGCATGGCGTAGCGGTGGTGGGCATGGCGGCGCACCAGGGGATGGCGGCGGCGACGGCGGCGGACCGGTTCTGCCTGCCGAGGATGGCGGCGGCGGCGGCGGCCGCCTCGCAGGTGGAGAACTGGGGCGACTCCGGCGTCATCGTCAGCAGCCCGTTCACCGACGACACCTCCACCGACCTCGACGACAGCGCCGACAAGCACCACCTCCACGCTCTAGTGGTGCCACTGCCACCAGCTACCTCCTCTCGCCGCCGTCTTTCTTGGCTGGCTCCACTCGTGTAATGCGGTTTCTCGTGCTACTCCCAGGGCGGCGGCGATGGCGGCGACGACGCCGGCGAGCAGCGAGGCGCGGATTCCTCCGCCGTGTCCAAGGAAAGAAGAGGGGATCAGAAGGTGCAGTCATTTTGTGTCAGAGGGGAAACGGAATCTGATCTCATGAGTGATCAATTTGGTTGTGTTCATTCTGAATATGATTTGTCCCCGAATTTGTGTGCAGATGCAGCGGAGGCTTGCGCAGAATCGCGAGGCGGCGCGGAAGAGCCGGATGAGGAAGAAGGTGATCGTCTGAACCTATACATTATCGATCATTCATTCGATTAATGGGACAATTACAATATCTGTTAAATATACTAGAGCATTAATTGCTTCGGAATCAATGTTGACTGCTGCTGCCGTTGCTGCAATGTTCTGGGAGTAGATGCTCTGCTGTTACTTGCATCTTTGTTTTGTGGTTATTGATGATGACTAAAGACATTGCGAATTGCTGTTTGTCGTAGGCATACATTCAGCAGTTGGAGAGCAGCAGGTCCAAGCTGATGCACCTTGAGCAGGAGCTCCAAAGGGCAAGACAGCAGGTGAGCCCTGCATTGTTCAGCATACTTATCAAATCGCCTTGCAGAATCTAATGTTTGAAGTCTGAACAGCTCAGTAACAAATACGCAAATGCAATTGACGACTATCCTTTACAGGGAATCTTCATTGCAACTGGAGGCTCCGGCGATCACGGGCACTCGATCGGAGGAAATGGTGGTGTTTTCCACTTGCTTGATTTCTCTGATCTGTCATGGCATCTGCGCAAACATCGCAATTCTGATTCTGTGTTGTGTTGTGTTTGCTTCTGCAGGTACGTTGGCGTTCGACCTTGAGTACGCGCGGTGGCTGGACGAGCACCAGCGGCACATCAACGACCTGCGGGTGGCGCTGAACGCGCAGATGAGCGACGACGAGCTGTGCGAGCTCGTCGACGCCGTGATGATGCACTACGACCAGGTGTTCCGCCTCAAGAGCTTCGCCACCAAGTCCGACGTGTTCCACGTCCTCTCCGGCATGTGGATGAGCCCCGCCGAGCGCTTCTTCATGTGGCTCGGCGGCTTCCGCTCGTCGGAGCTCCTCAAGGTTTTGACACGATCGAGTGATCACCCACCCAATTCAGCAACAAGCAAAGAATCTGAAGCTACCATTGACCGCCATTGTTGATGATGTTGTTTGTGCAGGTTCTTGCCAGCCATCTTGAGCCGCTGACGGATCAGCAGCTGATGGGCATCTGCAACCTGCAGCAGTCGTCGCAGCAGGCCGAGGACGCGCTGTCGCAGGGGATGGAGGCGCTGCAGCAGACGCTGGGGGACACGTTGGTGTCGGCGGCCGCCACCGTGGTCAGCGGCGGCGGCGGCGCCGACAACGTCACCAACTACATGGGACAGATGGCCATCGCCATGGCCAAGCTCACCACGCTGGAGAACTTCCTCCGTCAGGTAATTGAAGCTTCGGAAAAACATCGACGGCGAGGCGAACTGAATTGCTCATTACCACAGCGTGATGCGATGATTGATTGTGTGTAGGCTGATCTGCTGAGGCATCAGACGCTGCAGCAGATGCACCGGATCCTGACCACGAGGCAAGCGGCGCGGGCGCTGCTCGTCATCAGCGACTACTTCTCGCGGCTCCGGGCGCTGAGCTCGCTGTGGCTGGCGCGGCCGAGGGACTAGACTGACTAAAGAGGATCAATATCATTTGCCTGAGTTCTGAGTTCTGACGATGGATGGAGGTGAACCTGTTTTTTGATTGCTGAATCCTGAGAGAGCGTTAACTGCGATCGGCATTGTAAAATCAGTTGCTTTGGTGATGAAGCAGTAGTAGTAGGAGAATATTTTAGATTGGGCTCTTGGGCCTGTAACGTGTTGTAGTGTTAGCGTAGTAAGAACTAATCCGCGTACAATGTCAAAAGGAGAAGTTTTATTACAGGCCTATTTCCAATCTCGGATGCCGTCAAGGACCAGGTCATTGCATCTGATCGGTGCTACCTGCGACTTTAGCAGGTTTGTGCATAAGCCCGTTACTTGACCGAAACAGCGGAGTAGCTCAGAGAAGACCCTTACGTCCTCTTTGTCTGGATTTATGAAGACGACCGTCTCGTCGGTGTACATGGATGTGCAGAAGCGGACGGCTCTACCTCGCATCTTGCTAATCACCAGTGGATAGTGGGTCGCCCTAACGTAGCCTCTTGCCATGGCTGATCGCTTCTCCCGGGATCCCATTTGGGATGATCTTTGAGGTGGAGGTGGATAGGAGGCCCGTTATCTAGTTCTGCCTCTTATTTTTTTGGAACCCTCTATTTTGAAGGTGAGGAGGTATATAGCCCCATCTCATCAAGTCGAAAGCTTTGGAGATGTCTAGTTTAAAGAGCAGGATTGGTCTTCTACTCATGTGGTGTTTCCTCACCATATTCCTGACGTACATTAAGTTGTCGTAAATGCTTCGATCGGGGATGTAAGAGCTTTGGTTTGTTGAGATCAGCTAGTGCATGAGCGGCCGTAGCCTGATGGCCAGAACTCTGGAGAAGATTTTGGCAAAGCCATGAACCAGGCTTATTGGTTTATAGTCCTAGATTCCCTCAGCCCCATCCTTTTTTAGAATGAGGATCACGTTTGCTGAGTTTAGCAGGTTTACGTGCGTGCTCCTAGCGTCATGCAAGGCGTTGAAGGCCGCCACGATGTTGTCCTTGATGATGTCCCAACATGACTTGAAGTATTTCCCAGTGAAGCCATCTGGGCCTGGTGCCTTGTCAACCAACATTTCATTTATCGCCTTGCGAATCCCTGATTATGTGAATGGGGTCATTAAAACTAGACATTTCTATCAGGGCGGTCCTCATGGAAGACCAGTTGAGATCTTGCGTTCTTGGCTCCAATTGGCCCATTACTTGCTAGAGGTGCTTGGCAACGGAAAGTTCCTTTTATGTGTGTTGTATTGCCCATCTGTTGTGCTTACGCAATCGATAGATGTGGTTTTTTTTTTCCTTTTGTGTGCATTCATTTTGGGGTGAAAGAATTACATGTTTACGTCTCCTTCTTTGATGTTGGTTACATGCGCGGCATGTTTCTTCCTTTCTCATTCTATGACCGTGAGGCCGAGTAGCCTTCACTTTAAGGCCGTGCGAAACCTATACTTTGATGGGCAAATCGTACATATAATTAAAAAAAAGGAATTTAAAAAGTAGCAGAAAATAACATCTTCACAAAGTGTGTTTAGATTATTTAACATCTTGGCACACTTCTATTGACTTAGATGATCCCATATGTAATCCTCACAAATATCAATTAAATTAAACTAAGGTAGCCCACATACATGCGTGGGTATATTTAATATTGCTTAAATTTTCTATTACAAATGTTTATAAGTTGGTGATATTTTTCTAAATATTTTTTACTTCATTTTAAACATGTTTCGTTAGTAATTTGTTTGGGCATTGGTTATGATCTTTTTGCTAACTACCCTTGGAACATATAAATTTTAAACTAAAAATGTTTGAAACCGTGTAGTGTTGAATTTATGAGAAAATAGTGTAGTAATAATAGAGTTGGTTCCTATCTCTAGATACCATATGTTATTTTTTTGGAATATTTAGCATATCTTATTTGTGAGTTTTAAAACTTTAAATAACAAATTGTCTTGTATACTATAGATGTCTTCACATAATTTAGGATATATTAATGAATTTTTAGGATTGTTTCATCCACTTAAAGGTAGCAATGTATTTATTTCTAATTAGAGTGAGATGATTAGTTATGTATAGAGATATATGATGGGTTAGATAGTGAGTGGATGCCAGTCGCTCTCGATTGGACAAGGAGTAGTATAAACTTGCACCAACATAAGGAGAAGTATCATGACTTAATTTCGTTAACAATAGAAGCAATATCATTCTGTTGCCAGCTATGTTCTAGATATCACATATAGGAAGTAAAAACAGTAACAAGCAATTTCTATGTGATTCGTATGAAATTTCTAGTTCCAAAGGGTTCTAGGGTCAGATTTGCACCAACATTTAAATTCAGCCAGGTCACACCTCAAAACCCAGTACACGAAACATATACAAGCAAGTAACACTTTAAGTACATGCTTACCAAGGCATCAATATGCTTCCATTTGCCGTATGTTCTTACTCTGCTTCCATTTGCCGTATGTTCTTACTCTTCACTTCGTCTGATTCTTCTAATTTCCTTTTCCTTTTCATTTTGGAACCTTTGATTCTCCTAATTTCATCCCCCCAGTTAAGCTTCGCTGCCAAAGCAGTCTTGTTAAAAGCATGGATAATCTTAGAGTCCCTAGCAGGATCAAAAATATATGTAGTCCTCTCCAAATGTACCCCGTCGACAAGCTATTAGCTTCCCATGACTGATGATTCGCTCATTGTCAATAGTACGTCTCCCCAAAGCCATCTTCTCGAAATCCATGGCATCTCCACAGTAACTTTCAAATGGATGCAGAATCCTGGTCCCTTCAAAGTCACAATAACAGCAACAAGCTTTTTTTTAACAGATCAATTATATTGAACCGGCTTTGAAAGAAAGCCCAACAAACAAACAGAGTCTTATAAAAAAAGAACAAAAATAGAAAAACACAGCTCAAACACAGGCTGTTTTTCCCTTGAAGCACAGGTACATGCAAACATCCACACACACTACTCCAGACCTAGATGCAAAAGAGCACCAACTGAACTACATAGCTACAAATCTTCAGGCAATCGATCTGCCTTCAGTTGTCCCATTTTCTCCAGCAGACGATCACGCCATTCTTCCAAGATACCATGCTCCTCCCATTTTAGCATGATACATCATTTCTGAACAAAAGACAGAGTTTTGTAAACAATATGCAAAGGGTATTTAATCAACACATTTTCAAAAACCCAATCGTTCCTAACCAACCGCAATGCCCAACACACAGTAGCCAGAAGCACCACCCAAACCCTATTTATTTTCTTCCCCTTAACCAAATCCAAACCCTCACTGATATTACTTGGTCTTTTATCCAAGCCAAGAGCATCCCTAATGACACAACACGCAAAACTAGCTAAAGGGCACATAAAAAGGATATAGTTCGAGGTTTCTTTTTTTACCACACAGCTTACACAACTCATCTCCCCCTCTCCACTTCCTTTTAACCAATTGAGTAGCATAAGGTAGTCTTCCTATTCCTGCCATATACAAGAAATGCTTGATCTTTTGAGGAATTTTACTCTTCCAAATACTCATCATTTCAGAATCTTTCACACCTCCAAAAGTTATCAATCTATACATCGATCTCACATTAAAGATCTTGTTGCTGGTATAAGGCCAAACCACTCTATTTGCTCCCCCATCCAAATTATATTCATTTAAAAGGCCTCTCAACCTAATTAAATCTTGACCTCTGTTATCATCCAAATTCCTTCTAAACTCCAAATTCCAAGTCTCATTCTCCCATAAATCACTCACAGTCGCTTCTTGATGATAATTTATGTCAAACAACTCAGAAAAAACAACTTTCAAAGGTACCTAACCCAGCCAAACATCCCTCCAGAATTTCACACACCCTCCCTGGTGAACTTCTTTAACCACTAACCTTTCTAGCCAACCCTTACAGTCATGCAAACCCTTCCAAAACTTGGACCCCCCCTTGAGGAGAACTCTGAAAAAAACTAGGCTATACCATGTATAATTTCCTTCTCAAAACTTGTAAGCACATATCCTGCTCTCCATTCTCAATTCTCATGATCCATTTGCTTAGCAAACACAGGTTCATCACCCTAGTATCTAGAAAACCCAAACCCCCAAACTCCTTTGGTCTGATTAGAGCTTTCCATTTCAACATATGATACTTTATTTTCCCCGAAACCCTGCCCGTAGAACCTACTTCTTATAGAGTCCATTCTCTTGTGAAACTTCTCAGGTAGATAGTAAAAACCCATTGCATACATAGGAGCACTTGACAGGCAAGAGTTAATTTTAATTTCTTTTTCCATAAGAAAGGTAACCACTTTTCCAGAACTGCAGCCTCTTATCAACTTTCTGAGTAATGTGACACAAATCTTTTATTCCTATCTTCTCAACCCCCATAGGAAGCCCCAAGTAAGTAAAAGGTAAAGTACCAACTTTACAATTCAGCATATTAGCAACTCTCAATTCCTCCTCCTTACTAACACCCAGAACATAGACCTCACTCTTTTGATAGTTAATTTGCATCCCAGACATTTCCTCAAAACAAAACAACAGAAATTTCAGCACCCTAATGTTGTCCTCCCCATTCTTGATAAAATGAGCAGTATCATTAGCATATTGCAAATGAATTAAACCCCCAAGCACTAGATTAGACACCAAACCTTCTGACACCCCATTTGTTTTTGCACTTTCAAGGACAGCTGCCAAAGCATCATCCACCAGATTGAATAACAGAGGGGACAAAGGGTCCCCCAGCCTAAGCCCTCTATGAGCCTTAAAGAAAGGACCTTGCTCCCCATTTATATTGATACTCATCCTGCCACCTTTTGTTATCTTCTTCACCCAGCCAATAAACTCATCACTAAAATTCTTCTTTCTCATCACCTCATACAGGAAGTTCCAATTAACTCTATCATATGCCTTCTCAAAATCAATCTTAAAGATAATCCCCATGTCACCCTTTCTTTGCAACTCATGCAGGATGACACACCCCTCAAGAATATTCCTCCCTTAATATTTTATCTACCAATTCTGAAACCCTTCCATTGATTGTCTTTGTCAAGATTTTGAAAAAAACATTCTGCAGACAGATAGGGCTATATTGTTTGATGGTCCAGGGGCAGTATTAGCTTTCATCACCTTCATATTTTTGTCTAGTTACTCAAGAGAGAAAGGTATGATCATGTTTTCCTTTTAAGCATCATTCAATCTAAGAGAAGCACTCCAAACATTTCCCCCCAAATGTACATTCCTGCACTCTTCCTTACCAAAAAGTTTCT